TGACTCGATGGATGTTTAGGCTCGGATGGATGTTCTGACTCGATGGATGTTTTTACTCGATAGATGTTTCGACTCGGATGGATGTCTTGACTCGTTGGATGTTCTGACTCTGGTGTCACGTGACCTGTTGGATGTTTTGACTCGATGGATGTTCTGACCCAATGGACGTTCTGGCCATAAGCGTACGGAAGGCAGCTGAAAAAGGCTGAAAGTGCTTCTTTTGTGTTTTTTTCTCCGGGAAGGCTCATAAACCAGAGTGCCTACTACAAGGTCACACCGCTAAAAGTTGGCATCGCAAACATAGTCTATCACTGCGAAGAATCTAGGGTGTCAACTTGTTAAGCACTGTAAGAATTGTAGGCGAGAAGCGCTTTTGAAAATGACGAAGCTCTTGAAGAAAGCAAAGGGCAAAACAGAGAGTGAAAGAATATAGTCTATTTTTATCAGGAAGGCCGAAGATAAGAGTGCCAACATGCCTTCGGTGTGTCTCGTTGACAAAGAAGGATATTTTTTATGGTTTTATTACTTCGATTGGCAACTGGTAGATAACTAATTCAATGTATAATTTATGTATTTGTTTTATTTATGTGCGTTTTTTTCGCAGGTGATGGTATACTGTAAAAGGCTAAATTTTCGCGAGGACCTAATTTTCGCGAATTTCCCGAATCGCCTACAATTCCCGAAAGAACGTCCCGAGAACAATTAGGGCAATATGTGTACGCTACGGAAGCTACACTCGATTCGCGAAAATTACAACCCGCGAATAATTTCAAATTTTTAGCTTTGGTCCGATTCTCGAAAATTTGAGCCCGCGAAAATTAAGTCATTTACAGTATATTGCTTAGGTTGATGTTCAATAAACATAGCTGCAAGTCAGCACCAGTCATGTCGTATGTGTGCCTCTTCGTCCTTGTTCAATTTGCGCTATTTTATTAATGACCAGAGAGTTTTCCGGGAGCGCCATAGGCCTTGTTTCTTAAACCTGCGACAAACTATAGGTTATATTTCCTTCATTTATCTATTCAATACTTTTTTTATCAACACTACTTATGTCAATCAGGAGGTTTAGTATTGAGAGCCATCCACACTTTGAGGGACTTCGGCATCACCAGTTATATGTGCGTATATGTGTAACACAACAGGAGTTTTCAGATACCTTCAAAAAATGGTGCCCGTTCCAGAACTGGACTTATAAAACCTGTCAAATGATAGAGCGTGTCCCAAAAAACTATTACAATGTCGTTGGTGTGTTTTTTTATTGCAAATGTATTTTATGCATTTCCAAACCGTCAGTGTTCGCTCAAATGTAGCGCTAGCAATTCAGGCAAGATGCCAATGTTTTTGAACTTGCCATATTATTCGAAACTTTTATGTGTTTTTCGGAGAGTTTCAGTGGAAAAGCAAGGCCCGTTCCTGAAATCTCATATACTTTCGTATTACTTGAATTCAAATCATAACCTTGAAATGCAGGCCGTTCACCCTCACCCTTGTTGGTGTTAGACTGTGGCAGTTCTTAAAACCCGCTTTTTCTACTAAGGGCATACACCTGTTTAGCTCAACTGGTAGAGCGCTCCACTGGAAATGGAGAGGTCCCTGTTTCGATAACATGACCAGGCGGATTTTTTCAGCAGCGCACCAGTCACCTAGCTGTGCTTGGAGATTTGTGTTTGTTCTTTGTTCCCCTTGTTCCCCTTCTCCAGAGAATATTATTGTTATTATTGTCCCTCTCACTGCACCTTTACTTTATTGAATTAACATATCATATCCATAAAATGCAGGCCGCTCTCCCTTGTTTGTATTAGACTGGTGGCCGCTGTTAAAACCCGTTTTCTCTACTAATGCCTTACTCCTGGTTAGCTCAGTTGGTGGAACACTCTACTGAAAATGAAGAGGTCCTTGGTACGATACCAGGACCAGACGAATTTTTTCACTCGCACACCGGTCACCTAGTTGTCTTCGGAGGTTTGTGTTTCGTTCTTTGTCCCCCTCCTTCTCCTTCTCAAGGGATTATTATCGTTATTATTGTCCAGCTCGCTCCTCATTTCCAAAAATTGCATTAACTCCAACCGTGACAGATATATTGAGCCCTGCGTCAGCGTTCTATTGACACAAGTCCTTCTCCTGAAAACATTGGGCTCCCTTCCGCTGATGTGTGTTCTATACAGACCTCTTCCACAATCGAAGCGGGCGTATCGGCGAGATTCCACGCGAAGCTTGGGTACCGCGGTTGGGCACTAAAGTTCAGTTTTGATAGGCCAACCTCACTTCCAGACATGTACACGCTACCCAAAAAAAGTAACTAAATGCCGTTACTCGTTCCTCGCTAAAAAAGTAACTAAATACGTTACTCCTTACCGATTATCAAAAGGAACACGTGAGTTACCTAAAAAGTAACGAGTTACTTTTATCGTTACTTTGACGACCAAATACACAGCTCTTTTTGTTTCATGGTTAATTTTTTTTTTTTTTTTTTAGTAGTCGTTGCACTTAAGCAGTAGCTGCCTCTCGAAGTTTTTATCAGTTTTGTTTCCCCGCTTCCTTATGAATGCATCTCCGGCGACGCTGAAGGGTCGTTCTACAGACGCGCTCTTAGGGTCGGCAGTGTTGTGCTTCAGGAAGAGCTGGTGAATCTTCGGGAACTGCGCCTGTTGAGGACAGCGGGTAATGAGTTCTGTTCCTTCCCGTGATCGGCCACCTCCGGGTTTACATTCGGTCCCTACCCGGTTCCTGAAGGTTCAACCAACGAACCTGATTGTGTTCGCTGGGTGAAGGGCATTCCCAGCTGTAGAGTTCAATCCAGCAACGTTTATCGCTGTATACGTCAATCGAACTGTTCGACCGACGTGTTCAGCGATAAACGTTGCTGTACTGTCATACTGTTTACTTGTTTTTCGGGTGCCCACCTACCGTTCTGGCAGTAGACGCATACTCAGGTTAGAATATAAACAAGGCCATTTAGGCGGTGTTGTACACGTTCCTCCTCAGAAGTAACGATATACCATTACTCGTTACTTGGCCTTAAAAGTAACTGAATACGTCACTCGTTCCTTTTCTAAAAGAAGTAACGAAATACGTTACTCGTTACCGAAAATAGTAACTAGGTAGAAGTAACTCGTTAATTGTAACGCGTTACGTAGATCTCTCCTTACTTCAATGTATCACGTCACGACCAAATAGAGTGCTTTCATTTTCAAATAGGCGTATTTTCTTAAATTTATGAGGCTGTAGGTGTTGCCTACGATACGTATGGAACGCCGGGCCGCGTATTTCGAGGGGCTCCCGAAGTACTGGAGTTTGTACGCAGGTGAACATAGAATAACGATGGTACATGGAAGGAGTGTACTGGGCCGGTCACCCTGTTTCATTGGCTACTCGACGCCCTAGGCCTTTTAAATTATTCGGTAGCTGGGAAGATTGTGCTACACTCTGCAGTGGTAGCCAGGCCACTAAAGGGATCTGGGACGCGTAAGGCCGTACCCCAACCCCTCACTAAGCCTAGGCAGGGCCTTACGTCCCATGGAGGTAAGGGCCTGCCTAGATGAATAGGGGCAATACAAGCGGCAGCTGACCTACTTCAAGGGGCAATAAAAACCGTAACCATGTCACTCCTCTCCGTGGCCAGCCAGGTCCCACAATGCACCGTGCGCACTGTTGGGTGCAGGAATGCTTTGAAGTAGTCTATTGCAACAGCAGTAATCCACCTATTTCATGCACGAATAAATAGAAGAAACAATAGTCCCCTGTTTTGTGACATTCCATTGATTGACCGAGAGTATCAATACAGAACACCATGTAGGTAAAGACAACAAATTTATGAGAAGGAAGGAGTTGTCGGGGTGGTCTTAAAGGACGACGCAAACATTGTCTTTGAAGATATGAGCGGGCCCTACCTGCACCATTAATAAAAAATAAAGTTTTGCTCCTGCACATTGATGACTAACAGGCTATTTTAACTAGGTACAAAGATTTTACGATCGTTATTTAAAAATGGCTAAAATGCCGAAATAATACAGAGGCGTGCTTCGGGTATATCTTAGTGGAGACGTGTCTGGTGGCACTCTTGCTCTTATATGTACGTGCAGTTAACACGAAAAGGAGTTTCTGACCATGCATTAGTATTACTGTTACACAGACGACAATGCATGACTTGCACTGACGTCATATTAGCTGCCATTGGAGTGGCACCGCTGCTGAGCGCGTATCTTCTGAAACTTACGATTCGCACTGCCAAATTTGTTTTCCTCGGCAAAAACAAGTAGGAATAAACAATAGCATCGTGAGAGTACGCCATTTGCAAGCCACGTGTAAGATAGCTTTAAAGGGGCGATGCAACGATTTTTGTATTCTGCGCAAATACCGCTTAGAACGGATCCCTGACGTTAATGACCTGTAAAATACCCGTTTGTTTTTCACCACACGCAATCGAAGTCACAAAAAAAAAAATAAAGAAAAACGAGCAGAGGTCGTCCCCTCAACTCGCAGCCAGAACAAGCGGCCACGTGATCTGGAGCCGATTATATGCCGCCAATGTAGATCATAACCATGAGCTGGGGTTGGCAAGGCACAGGACACGCGCTGCGTTCCAGACATTGTTATGGTTCGGCTGTTGTTGTCATTGCAGTGATTGGACACAGGACACTACCCGAATGCTTCTCGAGCTGTCGATTATCACGAGCCCAAATCGAGTGCCCACGCAATGCTCGGGTCCAATCTATAAGCCGCATTCACATATCGTCACTGGGCGGTACTGCTACCGCCGAGCTACGTCATCAGGTTTTTCGAAGGAGAGATTGAATGAAAACGCTCGGTTTTGTCCTCGAAATTACAGCGCAACAAAGGAGTTTCTTGGTCAGTGCCGTTTCGTGCGAGTATCCTTGAGTCCGAGGTGTGTCAGTAAGCTCGTGTAAAGTGAAAAACAGTCCAACTGAATATCGTTGCACCGCCCCTTTAACACAACTACGGACAATGAGCGACTAATTCTCCAAAGGTGAAGCGCTCACAAGTTTGGTACCGTCGGTGAAGGTGGCTTCCACTGTCATCTCATGAAGGAGATCGGGAACACCTTCCAGGACCTGGTTACGACCTGCAGAGAGGGAAGCAGCGGCTTTCCGGAATCCACTTTGAGCTTTGCTTTTCGTCAGCGCAGTGTAATATTGTGAGGCGGAGAGGAAGAATCCATTCGTGGTTGCTTTATCTCCCTTATCCCGCCAAGGGGCGGTGACAAATGAGGTGATTGTGATTATAAAACATACAACGGCAAATGGATGCGGTAAAAAAAGACTGCCATGAAAATTTAAAAAAATCGAGCAGGGACTTATTCTCTACAATTGTCTTCGCTCAAAATGTCAACGTTCTACAGTAACCGATGCTACGCTGTTTTGTCTTATTTACAGCCCATTTTTCTTACTTTCCTTCGATATACAGTGTGGTTTACAGCGAATACAATTAGTTTTTCTAAGGTCATTTGAAAAAAAAGGATAGATATATTGCGTTAACGTTATCAACCACGGAAGGCATTAGGCTGCGAGAGTGAAGTGAACATCACCCATTTAGTCACCAAAGGCGTACTAATTAACTTTTGACAAATTCTTCTTAGGTAGCATTACAACTACATATTTACAGCCAATTCAGGCAACTAAAGTCTGCTCAGAATTCCAAGTCCTGAGGAACGCCAAAAGAATAGTTTGTTCCCACGAAACGAAATATTTTAGGAAATACTTCGCGCAGTGTACAAACAATTCGAAAAAAATTCACTTTAGCTAAGGTGCACGTGGTTGCAAAAAAAACGCGCTACACCCTGATAGCCACTCGGGTGCGCAGCTTTCAGGTCTTTTTGGTTTTTTTTACCTTTAGTTTCAGAGTGGCGGATTTCATGCAGTCAAACTTCGTCATTGAATATTGCAGAGGAACGCAAAGTTTTCCTGCTTCCAACAATTGCTACAAAAAATTTGAACCACGTGCGAGAAATATTTATTAAGATCTCAATCTAGATTCAGGGCATAGGGTAACAGGAAAAATGTGAAATTAGTTATTTAATAGGCTACTTAACTAAAGAAGCTTGCATGCACTTGTTTAACCACAATTTGGCCTAGCCGTGACGTAAAATTTTCATTAAAAATATGGTAGTGGGAGCTGTCTTGTCCAGTGACCATATAGAAGGAGATGATATAGCGGGTCACGGCTGACACGAGCAGTGGGCAGAGACGTAACGATAAAAGGCATTCGTTCGTTTGTATGCTCATCTCGTATAATTTGTAAGGTACACCCGTGAGCGATCTGAAGGTGAACCGCCCTCTTCCTGTTTTGGACGCTCCTGCAAGTTTTGGAACAAGCTCTGTTCCAGAGGGGGGCTAGAAAGCAAAGTTTAGACCCCCAAGCCATGTACAATTTGAGACGTTGAGAGTTAATATAGCTCAGGGGTGGCCAAACCGCGGCTCGCGAGCCGCATGCGGCTCTTTGCTGGTCCAAGTGCGGCTCGCGGATCCCTCGTAAGCGGACCCCCCCCCCTCTCCCCTGCCCCCTTTGCGCGTTTCCCCAGGAAAAAAGAGACGGGATTTCAGGCAGAATAAAGTACGGCTCGCGGTTTGGCTACTTTATTACGTATTACTTCATTACGTATGAGTGCACAAGGCTGTACTGGTCGTACAGCCTTGTGCACTCATACGTGCAGTCAGTCTCTAAACAAAACTTAAAATTGCCCCCCCCCCCCCGGTTCTTAGAAGTTTCGTGGTTTCGTTTGCGGCTCTTAGGCCGGGTCAGCCTGGCGACCCCTGATATAGCTTGAAAACAGGCAAGAAACCAGGTAAGGTGTACACCTTCATATTGCCGGCGGGTGTACGCTCACGGCACACATGTCCTGTGCCGTGAGCTCTGAAGCGAATAACCACAAGACCTCAAGGACACCTGCGGCAGGATTGTAATGAATGTGAACCAGCCTGGGAATTCTTAATCGTAAAATGGTCCGGCAAAGGCGAGGACTTCGTTCTTCAATCCGTTTGCCGTGAAACTTAGACGCTCGACTTCAGAAACCCAAACGGCTGCAGGAGGAGGATCACCCAATGGGAGAGGTACCGATTTATTTCAGGACTCCACTACGAGACTAAACGACCCAAGTGGGCACATTTATTTAAGCTATGGCTATCGCCAATTAGAAGCTTCTAACGGCCGTGTTCTGACCAAGGAGCTCTCCAGACAAGATTACCCTATTCAGAATCTGTCCATGGGGCCCAACGGGATTTATGAAGTTTTCTAACGGGCCTGACGCACCCGTCAAGAATTCCTAATGGGTATAAGAGACCCGTCATAGTTTTTTTCAAAGGGCTTTGGGGTCTGTCCCCACCTTTCCCGTGAAGTCACTGCACCCATCAAAATCATTTTAATGGGTCAGTGGGAGATATCACGTGACCCTTCACGATGTTTGCGTCGGGAAAGCCGCTGGGCCATCGGGCGGCCACGACGAGTCTTGGAAATTAAGGAGACGTTCCCCATCTCTATCTTGTCGTGACGTTGGCTAACGAGGCCTCATCGCTTTGCCTGTGTGTTCTGTGTACGTGTTTTACGGGCTGAAGAAGGAGCTCCCAAGGACGCCAACTCCTCACTCACAAGGGAGAAAGGGTGCGTGTTGAAAATGGGAGAGGGACTTTTTGTGTTTGTTTGAAGGTAACCTGTCTTTGTCAGTCGAAATACAGCCTTCGTCAAAAGCTAGTCGCCCGTTTTTTTTGTTTTTTGTTTTTTGCTTCAACGGGCGCAAACTAAATGCGGAACAACGAGCGGTCACTCAGTGTTGGTTTCCCGTCCCATGCGTGGGACCGATCTCCTAGAGCGGCTGGGTGTGCGGATAAAGAAGGTATCTTAGTGTTCTGTTTCGTGCGCCTCTTCGACGGTCCGGCTTCAGAAGCATCGAGTGAGTGAAAAAGACGCTGAAGGCGCCACCGTGACGGCACCAAGGGACGACACCGTAACTGTGCTGAGGATTTATCAACGGCGGCGGATGTTGTTTGCTCGTTTCGTGGTTTTCGCTAAACGTGTAACTGACAGTGTATGTGTGAGCGTATGGTGCACCTGCTCAGTTTTATGAGCTGGACAACCGTAGATCTCAAGAATTAACCAAGCGGCATTATGAGTACCTGGAAGCATCATTTTTGCGACAAAGAACTCGGATGTCCCCATTTGGTGGGATCGCTTTTGTCTACAGCTGCCTGCGCTCGGGATTGAGTAAACTTTGGACCTTATTGTCTCTTTTTAGTTACTACATGCAAGCAATAAAGTTGCAATAGCGTTTTAAAGAGCATTTTTGACCTATAGTTTACTGTCATTTGGGTGTCTAAAGGATTGAAGGGGTGAAGGTGTTGAAAGTCTGAAGGGCTAAAGGGGTTTGAAGGGCCGAAATGGTTGATGGCTGAGAGGATTGAGAGGCTGAAGGTGTTTGAAGTGCTGAGAGGGTCCCATACCACATCAGGGCTTAAGTGTGTTTTTTTTCAATATGGCAGGCAGGGCGAGCACAGGACAGGGACCGAAGAAAGGTTCAAGGCATGAACATCAGGAGACAGGAGGGTGTCTCACGATAAACTCTGTTTAATACGTATCTACATAAGTAGTAACATCATCAGAGAGCACACTCTCCCAGCCACTTGCCGCTTCCTTTAAAGGGTTACTTGGCCCCATCTCTCTAGTACGGAGTGCCTGAATGGTAGAAGCATTTGTTCACAGAGTCCAAGCTCCGCCCAAGTATCTTTCCCTCGCACACACGTTCAGCTCGCATCCGCAGACGTCCCTGAACGTGGCGCCTTGTCCGTCTCGGGCCCCGCCGTCGCCGTCCAGTCTGGATTGAAGAAAAGAAGGCTTCCGAAAGCGAAAGATACTTCGGCTGATCTCTAACCGTTCTTTGCAAGAAGAGGCTTTACTCGAGCACTCTGTCAACGGGAAGAGACTGGCTTAACCTCTTGTCCAAATGTGTCGCACCGCCAACGCAATGCTGGACAAAGTTGTCAGTTATTAGCGCCTTAGACGGCCAGTCGCCGACTGTCAATGGGATGCCACTCCCCCCCTCCCCCGCCACGGGCCTATCGCAACAGCACCTCCGCCGCCACTGAGCTTATTGGAAGAGGGGGATCGATTCAACGCTGCTGCGCTGATTTGATGAGTGCCTTGCTTTCTTGGAAGATTGTCTGTTATTAGCCACCAGTTTGGTGACGTACGCGAGGGGCGGGACCCACACCTCTGAAGAGGGGGACTTGAACTCAGGTCCCAAGAGGAAGGCATTGACGAGACAAACAAGAAAGACACGACCCCGACACCGAACTTCTCGCAGTTTTCCTCCCCGATCTTCCAGACCAAACTAGTCTGTAGTAAACCCTCCCCTAATACCTAAAACCTCTCTCACTCTTCACTTAAGCTCAGGCTGTCCCGAAGCCCACTGAAAGTAAAACATGCCCTAAACCAGGCAAACACAAACAATTATTAGGGTATCGTGCTGTTAAATACAAAATGAAAGGCGTTTACAATTCTTCGTAATGCGAAATTAGACCGCAGCTCTTGAGGAGGAGGATGGGAGGGTACGGAGGCAAAAGTATGCCCCTCCTCCCCCTCCCCTACTCCCCTCTCATTTAGCGGGAAATTTTCGCTGAATTCCCCTCTAAATTTGGCGGAAAATTTATCGAATATTTCTCTGCTAAATTTAGCAGGGACATTTTTACGCTAAATGTAGCGGGGAAATTTAGCGAAAATTTTCTCGCTAACTTTGGAGGGGGAATTCTCCCGTTCAATTCCAGCCTAAATTTAGCAAGTTAAGTTTCCCCGCTAAATTTAGCGAGGAAATTGACGTCACGTGACCTCAACACCAACTCAGTTTCCCCGCCAAATTTAGCGGGGAATATATGGCGTCCCATAATGCAACGCAAGCGGTAACGCCGACGCCGACGCCGCTCAACCCGGAAACGCGCGCCAAAGAGCTGCGCTCTAAAACACGATCATAAATTCAATAAACCGAGCGATAGTCTAGCAATGGAGGCCGCCCTTTTTGTGAGACAGTTGTTGCAATCAAGGAAGAAATCAGTGGTTCGTTTCCACGAAAAATTTGGTCCC